TGGTCCCAAGCATTTTGGATAAGGGAGACTCAATCTGTATTGTGTGATCTACCTTGTATCTGGTAAAGACAGGGCATTTCACAGGGCCACACCAAGCTCATGGAACTCTCTGATGGTTAATAATAAAGAAGCCCCATCACTGCTTAATTTATTGCTCACTCCACCTTTTTTTCATACAGATTTTCCATGATCTGTGAGGCAGCCATATGTTTTACCATGACTTTTATTAACCCCCAAAGTTTTGCTTGTGTTTTGTTGTTTTTATCTCAGTGTGAACTACTGTGGGTCTTTAAAATGCCCCATGTCCAAAGGAGTGGTTGCTATTGTAGTTGCATGCTTGAATAAAAATTGTTTGTATGCCAGCAAAGACTAAAGGGAGAGAGCCAGCCGAGCCTCTCTTATGTAGGGAGTTCCAGAGCCTGGGAACAGCCACAGAGAAAGCATTCCCTTAATTCCACACTAGATCTTTCTCAGGAAGTGCAGAAACCAATAGAAGGACCTTCCCCAAAGATCTCAAGGCCCAAGCAAACTCGTCCTTCAACGTAGTATGCCTGATTGTCTTGGTGTTTTAATTTATTGTAATGTTCACTAAGAAAGTTCTTTAGAATCTAATGGTGTAAATATCTGATAAAATAAAATGATAAATATAGGGGGGCATAAAAGATTGGCTGCTTTGTAGCCAATGGTATTTATTAAATAAAGCTTTGACCTTGCACAGTTGGTTATTTCTGAAGTATGTTAGCTATTTGGTCGAGTAATTTGGATTATTTAAATCAAGACTGAGAATTATGTAGTCTTCCAGATCTTGTTGGGGTGCAAGCCCCAGCAGCCCTCACTAGCATAGCAAGTTGTAAGGAATGTTGGAATTAACAGTCCAAGATCTAGACAAATGCTCGATTCCCCCCTGACTTAAACAGTATGCTAATAATTTCAGTGTTAATGTTTTGCAGGCTTTACGTTACTTTCAGAAAGCTGAAGATGGTAAGTAGTGTAACATTGCAGTAATTGAAATCCATTTGTGCATAGACTGTGAAAATTTAAAACTAGAGGTTTACATTTTTATAGCTAATGGAGGAAATATTGGGACATCTAGCCTATGTGGATTTTTCATTTTTTTGGAAGCAAGGATCTAAGATGAAGCAGATGCTCTCCCTCAGATTGTCTAATACTGTCCCCTATTACAAAATCTTAGCAGAGCTCAAATAGAAAAGTTAGAATGTGTCTTTATAGCCATCTTCAAATTGCATATAAAGTTGAAGTTTAGTATTTCACAGCAGTAAACATAGACTTATCCCAACACAGTATCCAAGACTTTGAAAAGCCTGCTACAAAGACATGGTCTTTATTGTACATTTTTTCACAGCAGTATACATTTCTGTCTACAGAGGTATTGGATGAGATCACATACATAGAAGAGGAACAAAACTTCTTACTGACAGTCATCCTTTGTGTCCTACTGTGGGAGTCCCCCTAACATCAGGGAGGGTCGCAAACAAAGCAGCTGGACCTTAGCCATTTATTCATGGTTCTTCCATTTCAGAGCACAGGTTAAGTCCTGTGAGTGTACAGTTAATGTATATAATGCAAGTTAAAAATGAATCTTCTGAAAAATTAGTTATTTCTTAGTTAAGAAAGTAAACATTTCCTTTAATCCTGTAATGAAGAATAGCCAACGTTATATAGCATCTTGAAACCATAAATAATGTTTTTTATAAAATTAAGATTATGTAAATTAGGGACTACAGTATAATAAAGTAAAACCTCTTCTGTTACCTATTTTATGCAGTTGAGCCAAATTTCTACAGTAAAAATTTGCTCTTCTTGGGAAAAACATACCTGAAGTTAAACAACAGAAAGATGGCTCTTTTGTGGCTAATGAAGGCTAAAGAACGGGTATCACACACAGAAGAGGATAAGCAGGTGAGCGATTTGATTGTTTGAATGCTAGTGTAAATATTCCATATATTATTCAAGCATTTTTTGGAAAACATGCTAGAACAAGATCTGATCCTTCTTCCTGAAAGTGCTATGAATAACCTGATCACTTGAAAGTATGTCCTGGTAGATAGGTGGAGATTACTAGGCTTGCCAGCAGGGCTGTGTTCCACCTGAAGATTATTATGATGATCTTTCAATGTCTGGGGATGGGAGGCCACAGGAGTTCTGCAGAAACAACATGAGGTAGTTAAATGGGAGTGGTAGAAGAATGGCCCGGTCATAAAGAGGACTAAGGTAAGCTATGATTCCTGGGGATTGTTGAAGGAAAGTAGATTCCCTAAGATGCAGAGGCAGCATTGGCAAAGTTTTAACTTTTGTGGTAAATTAGCCTCCCTAGGCCAAAATCAAGCTTGGAAGATATTTAGCTGTCTCAAAAAATCACAAAGATGCTAACTAGCTCTGAAGGATCTTATCAGTAAGAATGTTTTTCTATTTATGTATTTTAAGCTATACAAAGTTCTGATCAAACTACTTTTAGGATACTAAACTCCATCCATCTTAAGTTTGGGGTGAAGCTGGGTGGGCGCCGCGGCAACTGTATGCCGCAGCCCCACTCTGGCTTTCCCATCGCCACCGCTGCAGCTTTTCGGTGTTCTTGCAGCATCTAAAAGCTGCCCGCCATGTGATCAGGTGGACAGCGTGATGCTGGCTTGGGGGCGGTGTCAGAGCATGCAGCGTCAACACCATGCTCAGACGCTAACCCCAAGCTGGCGTAAAGGGGGAGCCTGCTTTGCTCCCATACTAGGAAAATGTTATGTGAATGTTAAGCCAGTTAAAGCATGCTGTTAATATTCCAGCTAAAAACTGAATTTAAAGCTTCATGGGGGAAAGATTAATTGAAACTGCTATTGATGTCCCCCTACCCCACAGAGTGGGGAATTGAATTGAATGAAAAGTCACAAACACATGTAGATATAGCTTAGTTACAGTTCTGAAAAGTTTGTATGTGATACCTCAGTCTGAAGATAACATAGATAAAAGTTTTCTCCGGTTTTTGTTGACACCGTCTCCAAGATTTTAAGTATATTAAGAGATTAATGGGCACTTGGTGAATTTTTGTTAGTATTGGGGGAAATTGTCTAAAGATTGCATTTAGGTGGCATCTGACTCCAGCAAAAGTAACCAAAATATACAAAACCAAGCAGAACAAGTGCTAGAAATGCAAAAAAGGAGTTAGTTTCTGGTATCATATTTGGTTGAACTGCCCTCTAAGATTCCTCATTTAACTATTTGTGAAATGCTAAAATTAAACTACCAGATGATGCCTGAAATCTATTTATTAAATATGACCAATAAACTACCACCACAAGTAAGGAAAAGAAACTGGGGGAAAAATACTTTATCTGGTCTCGACAGCCAGATTACTCATCACCCCAAAATAGAAAAGAAAATCCCACTATCAATGAATGGCTAATTAAATTAACAGATACAATAGACTAAATGGGAAATCATCTGAAACAAGAAATCATAGATTATTGCAAAAACAAATAGAGCGAATAAGTAACAAGCATATTACAAACATATAGAATAAATACTAATGTCAAAAAACTAACTTCATAATACAACTGAAGTTACATATGGTAAACAGACACAAAGACAAAAAAGTACTATTTTCTGGCGTATAAGACTACTTTTTAACCTGCAAAATCTGGGGTTAAAGTGGGGGGGTCGTCTTATACGCCAGGTAAAAGGAGGTTCGTGATAGGTTTGCCTTAGTGTCATCATCAGTTGGAAATTACTTGAAGGTGCATAGCAACAACAACAACAGTTTTGGAAGTCATACTCTTCCCAAACTCTATATTTTAACTGGAAAAGTGGGGGGTCGTCTTATACGCCCAGTCATCTTATATGCCGGAAAATACGGTAAATAAAGTCATATGTACTGGAGATGCAAAAGAAGAACAATAAAGAATGTACACAATAATATTTACTTTGTATACATACAATCAACTATTTAAAAAGCAGCATCCGATCTGCATCATAAATATACAATAGACAGGATTCATGGTAATTTGTACTTTACGAAATGTTGCAGCTCTTCTTTCTTTTGTATATAATGTTTACTTAGGAAAATACTTAATTCATCCCTCCTGATTCGCAGGATATCATTTCCAGACCCCCACCCGACAAATCAGAAAAAAACACAAATATTCAAGTCACAATATTTTATTGATTATAATGGCTGTGCACGCACCTGGGATGTGCATTCCATTCTGGCTTGCCGTCCACAAAGGATCAAAACTGCGAATGGCAAGTCCGTGGATGGGGAGGGATAAGTGTATAAAGTTGTACAAATTTCAGTTAATAATAAATGAATGACTCTTGAAGATCTAACAAGATATTTTTATAGAATCCAAAATTGCTTTATCATATAATACAGTTTATTTTAATGAAAGATAAAGTTGAAAAAACACTATGTCACAGTAATTCCATTACATTAAGGCAGGACTTTTTGAAAATGGGAATAAAGGTAACAAACAAATACTTCATTGAAGCTTTTCTCTTCAACTTCAGGTACAAAAAGAAGCTGTGGAATTGCTCAATTCTATATGACAAGATTACTGAAACTGAATTGCTGTGATTTGTTATGAATTGGTATGAATCAATGCACTAATTTCTTAATCTTTGATTCAGAGGGTCTGAATAACCAAAAAGAGGCTGTATTTCCAAACAAGCAGATATTCTGATATTGTTGAGATTTTTCATGTGTATCTCTTGATTGAGGGGATATGTATAAATTACATCATTATAAAAGTAGTTTTATTGATTTAAGTTCTCTGAAAAAACTCATCTGTTTGGTTCTCCTATTTTGCTATGTTGGAGTTGAAGTCTTTCACAGTCTAGTATTTTGGGAATGAAAAGGCTCTGTGTGTGTGTGTGTGTGTGCCTTCAAGTGACTTATGGTGATCCATCATGGGGTTTTCTTGGCAAGATTTATTCAAAGAATCCTTACCCTAAGACTGAGAGCATGTGACTTGCCCACAGTCACCCAGCAGATTTTATGCCTGAATGGAGAATCGAACCCTGGTCTCCAGAGTCATAGTCCAGCACTCTAATCATTATGCTATACTGGCTCATGAAAATGTTAATCCTCTTTTTTAAGACTTGTGCTACTATGTTTCAGAGCCAGAAAATTCACTTTCATTTGGATGATTCCTAAGAATTGAATGTCTAGGCCGCTTCTGGAGTTATCATTTCCAAGGCACTGTTAGGAAGCAAGGGAACTTGTATGGAGTGGAGTGCACCATCTGTTACCATAGTAGTCCTTGCTAGAGATACTAGCTGATTTTTATGGTTTGCAGGATTGTCAGCTACAGCAGTGCTTCTTAAGCTATCTGATGTGGGGGTTTTCAAGTGATCTAGTCCAGCCCCCTACCATGCAGGAATACATAGCCAAAGCATCTTGAAAAAGAGCCATTAAATGTCTGTTTATAGACCTCCAAAGAAGGAGGGTCCATCACCATCTAAGGCAGTCTTTCCACTGTTTAACATACATTACAATCAAGAAGTTGCTCCAAATGATTAGGTGGAATCTCTTTTCTTGTATAGGCATACTGCAGTTCACAATATGTCTTCCCAAAACAAACAAAAAAGCTTCCTTTTTTACAAGATTTTTATACTCACCCAGCCTATATTTCTTCCTCACCCTCTGTGCAGCTGGAAATATTTTAGCAGCACTGGCAATGGGAGGATAGTGAGAAAGAGCTGGAAAAACACAGGTTTTGAGTGCCAGGCTGCAGCAGCATGCCTGCAGTAAATAATGCAATAAAGTTTGGACTGGAAAAGAAAAATATTCTGCTCTAACCAATCTTACTATAGCTGTATACGCCTGTCGATAACAACCATGGCAAACAGCAGCTGCCTCCAGAATTCCTCACTGAAGATGTGTAAACAAACAGAGAAAAGATGAAAGCAGATAAGCCTGCACCACAGCATATTTTTAAAAAAATCATAGATATGTAAATTCAGCCATCAAAATGCAATTCATATAAAGCGGAAGAAAAAAAAAACCTCATCCCTTCATGCTTTTTTGGGGAAAGCTTTTAAGGGGTCTCTAAAAGGTCCAAAATGTTTTTGTTATGCAAGGTTTTCCTGACCTGTTTCATTTTACATATGAAGTGTACACATGGTTTTAAATAAATAAAAAATTACTGAAATATGTTAAAGTGTTATATCCCTATTCCATTTTATTTCCACCTCTGATACCAATTTTTTCTGTTAAAGAAGTAATGTCTAGGGGCGTATCTGCTTTGTCAAATGAGGTTTATCTGGAAATTGAATCCATTGGTTCACGTTCTGGTCACCAGAGAAGCAGAAAACAACTTTGTTGCATCTTCTACAAAACATCACTTAATAATGTTATAACCTAAACCTGTGTTCAATTGTTGCAAAGAACTTGCTTTTCCTTCACTGTTTAAAAACATTGCACTGGTTGTCAGTTGCTTTAGGATTGAAGATTAGTCCACCAAAGGACTAATGGATGCTAGACTGCATGCACCTGTTGTAAGTCCACTTGAGGACCATTCAGTATAAAATATGGGGTAAAAAATGCAATAAGCTTTGGATAGTTGAGGGTTTCCTGGAACTCTAGATTTTTTAATATCAAGCTTCTGTGTGAACTTCCGAAAAAATGGTTTTACATTTATGTTAAGATAATTAAAACGGGTTGAGCTGCAAAAGAGGTATGAACTGTATTTACACTTCAGTTTACAGTTTACACTTTAAAACCAATGCAACTTGAGTGGGAACTGGTTTGTTCAATTATTTTAACTGCACAAAAGAGAAAAATATCAGTGATCACCCTTGTCTACTTATTTCAATTACCATGTGGAACTATTGATGTTAACTTCAGCAGATTTGTAAAGATATGGATGCTATACAGTTGCCTCTCTGTTGACCTCACTGAGAATATTAGGAATTCTTTCATAGGAGGACAACGAAGAAATTAGTGATAATACTGAATACATGTCTCCTGAGGAAAGTTTGAAGGAACTAAGTATGTCTAGCCAGCAGAAGTCAGGGGTGGTATAATTACACTTTTCAGATAACTGAAGGGATGTCACAGAATAAAGCAAAGACTTGTACTAATGCAAGATGGGCAGAAGGTATAGGATATAATGGTACATCCCTGGCTGGTCTTCAGCAGATCATCCAGAGTTTCCAACTTCAATTGCTTAACCAATAATAATAATAATATGATTTATTTCTAGCCTGCCTATTTCAAAAGGGAATCAAGGCGGGTTACAAACATAAAAATAAAAAATACAATAAGAAAACAATAATACAGAAGTTGCATAAAAAGCAAATACATGGGGGGGAGGGCTATTCTGGGAAGGATTGTCAGAAGAGCTCTGTCTTAAGTGCCTTTTTAAAGGCTGTTAAGGTGGCGATGTGATGGATCTCTTCCAGCAGGTCATTCCATAACCTAGGGATGGCAGTCGAGAATGCCCTCTGGGTTACTCCAGCCAATTTAGATTTTTTAGGCTGCAGAAAATTTTTCCCAGAGGACCTTAGTGTGCAGGATGGATTGTGTGGAAGAAAGCACTCCTGCAGGTAGTCAGGGCCCAAGCCATGTAGGGCTTTAAAGTTTATAACCAACATCTTGTACTGCACCCAGAAACTAATTGTCAGCCAATGTAGAGATTTTAAAACAGGTGTTATGTGGTCAGTTCTAGATGTCTCTACAACCAGTCTAGCTGCCATATTCTGTATCAATTGAAGTTTCTAAACTTGGCACGAGGGTAGCCCCTTGTAGAATGCATTGCAGAAATCAAGTCGAGAGGTTACCAGCGCGAGTACCACTGTTTCTAGGTCACCCGGCTCCAGGAAGGGTTGCAGCTGGGGAATCAGCCGAAGCTGATGACAGGTGCTCCTGACCGTCGCATCCACCTGAGCGGTCAGGTGAAGTGGCGAATCTAGGAGCACTCCCATACTGCAGACAGAGTCCTTCAGGGGAAATGTGACCCTATCCAGAACTGGCTGACATATCTCCATTCCCAGGTTGGGGGTCCCTATAGCAAGTACTTCCGTCTTGTCTGGATTCAGTTTGAGTTTGTTTTCCCTCATCCAGTCCATTACCACCCCAAGACAGTCATTCAGAGGAGAGATGCCATCCTTAGTCACTGCATCAGTCTGAGACATAGAGAAATATATTTGGGTGTCATCAGCGTATTGATAACACCCTGCCCCACGTTTCCAGATGATCTCACCCAGCAGCTTCATGTAAATGTTAAACAGCATGAGACAGGATGGCGCCCTGGGGGACGCCAGATTTTAGCTCTCTTTTAGGAGAGTAACTGTCTCCCAGCATCACCATCTGGAATCTGCCTGAGAAGTAGGAATGCAACCACTGCAAAGCGGAGCCTCAGATTCCAAACTTTCCCAAGCATTCCAAAAGGATACCATGGTTGATGGTATCGAAGGCTGCTGAGAGGTCCAAGAGCACCAACAAGGTCACACTTCCCCTGTTAATGCCCAGACAGAGATCATTGACTAAGATGACCATGGCAGTCTCAACTCCATATCCCATCCTAAACCTAGTTTGAATTGGATCTAGAAAATCAGTTTCATTCAAGACTGCTTGGAGCTGAATGGCGACCGCTCTCTCGATAAACTTGCTTAAGAAAGGTAAAAGTGATACTGGCCTGTAGTTGTTTTTGTCCAGGGAAGCCTTTTTAAAAAGTGGTTTAGCCACTGCCTCTTTTAGGGACAGTGGAAGTCAGCCTTCCCTAAAGGATGCATTGATTGATGGAATCTCCCCCCTGGACAGTCAGCCAAGATGGGCAGGGATCGAGAGAGCAGGTTGTACTTTTCACACTACCAAGGAACTTGTCCACATCCTCGGTACTTACCAACTCAGTATAACAAATTTGGCAGAGGCACTGGATACCTCCTATTGCTTCTGTAGTAATGCTGGCGTCTAAGTCAGATCTTATCCGAGAGATTTTATCTGCGAAGTGATTGTTAAAAGCATCACAGCAGGCTACGGTTGGTTCTAATAGAGAGTTCTGAGTGGGGGGTATTTGTATTAAATTCCTCACCACCCTGAACACCTCTGCTGGATGAGACTTCGCAGATGCAATAGAACCAGAATAGAAAGACTTCTTAGCTGCCTCTATTGCCACTCGATAGGCTTTAAGAAAAGTCCTATGATGTGTCTTGTCGGAGCGAGAATAATGTTGACTTTTCCATCTAAATTAGACTGTTGAAACAGAAGAAAGGTGAGGCCAATCAGGAACTAATCTATGCATGAAAGATTCTGGCCCTGGTTCTTCATTGTCTGCCCGGGTCTGAGGTAGTGACTAAATTACAATAGGGTAATTTCAAATGAACTTTAAGGATGGATATCTGATAAGATGTTTTGGCTCAGAATTCCCTACATTAGCTGAAGAGTTTGCTTAAATGCCTACAAGACCCTTCCAATTTTGCTTCTGTAACACAAAAACAGGGAATGTGACTCTCATAAAATCCATGTCCATTCATTCACTGCTGACTAGGGCAGATGGGAGTTGCAGTTCAACAAAAGCTGTGAAAAGTTCCACATCATCCCAGCTATATTGCTTCATGAAAATCTGTTCACTTAATTACATCTCGCTATTGAAAGATACAAAAATCAAGTACAGCTACCTCTAAACTAGCAAAACTAGAATGAGAATGAATGGTTACACTTACTGTGAATGATCATTCTAGGATAGCTGAGCCTCTGAGACCATTTTTGAAGGGCAGGGTATAAATACAATAAATAAATAATAAATAAGTGGGTTACTCCCCTGCATCAGCTGATTGAGGCAGAAGACCCCCAATTTCTAATTCTATTTGGTCCACTTAGCGGCTATGCAGACAGGTGGCTCTTGGCTGCCCTTGCTAACAATGGATCGGGGCCGCGGCAACCCCACACTGCAGCTCCGATCCTTCCTTTTGGCGCCCCTAAAAGAGTGGCAAAATGCTGCTATTAGGGATGACAAAAGGCCGCCCTAAGAGCCGGCACCACAGTTCTTCCATGCCCTTTTGGCACAGCATGTCTGCCTGCTACATCAGGAGGATGTCCTGTTGCTGTGCCCCAAGTCCACCCCCA